TATAACTACAATACAAAATATCAAAAGAATGAACCTGCAGAAAGATCAAGCCAAGAGTAATCGATATTCCACCCTCTGTCCTTCCAAAGGGCAGTATAATTCAATGTAGGGAGGAAGAAAATAAACGCACAGGAACAATGTAATCTCAGGCTCTAATAAACAGCATGCTGATAAAGACCACTAAGGAAACTTTAACTGGTTATAAAATTAAAGAAATTATGAATAATGAGTTATCACATTATTATTTTCCTCATTCAACATACGTTTACTGGATGTTATTACTGTACAAGATATTATACTAAAAGCTGAAGCTGTGATAAATAGGTTTTAAATTAAAGTATAAGAAATTTCAAAAAAGTCAAAGTTTTACTGTAAGTAATTTTGTTGGTTCCCCTGGAACTCATTACCAAGGAAGATTCTAAAGAAAAAGATAGAGTTATGATTCTGTATTTGTTACATATAGGATAAAACCAAAAAGCTAGGTATCTTTTTAGTTTATCAATTATAAGTCCAATTAAATTAATTTCAATGTCTATGTGCCTAAAGCAATAGTTCTGATTCTCTAAAACTAATTATATAATACATAAAACATATATACACATAGATACATATGTATATATTTAATATAACAAAGATAAGCTTTAAGATTAAAAAACTCTGAACTAAACACAGATGACAATTAATTCTTTTAGAATCTCATAAAATTCCTTTTGATCCCTAATGGTAATTTTATTGCATGGTGACCTCCTCTCCCTAGTAAGTTCACTGTCTTTGTAAACCATGTGAATCCCTATCATTTTCTCTTGGGAAGCAAGATTGTGTAGTAGAGAGAGCCCAGGCTCTGGAGTAAGATAGATCTGAGTTCAAATCCTTTCTCAGCTACTTAACTAATCTATGTGTCATTAAACAAATTAGTTGACTTTGTAAGCATCAGTTTTTCATCTTTAAAACAATTTTAATGATACTTTCACCATAAGAGTATCGAAACATTTTGTTGATTAACAAGTTTATGATAGTTCATAAATGATATGCCCTTACTCCTTTCTCTTTTGAAGAATGGCATCCCGTTCCTTTAGTCCATTAATTATCCTCAAGGCATTAATATAATTTCACATTGACAACTAGAAATGCGATACTACTTACAAGATTTATCCTCTAAAGGTCCTTCCATGCACACATTTTGGCATCTCATGAATCCTTCCAAATGTTTAAATACTAAAACTGCAGTGAAGTGAATGAGACTGGCATGGGGTGTCAGGAGACCCAGACTCTAGTTTCGTTAATGCCAGGAAGTAGCTTGGGTTTTATCTCTTTGGATTTGGGATAATGTCTCATGAAAAATGAAGGTGTTAAGACTAGATACTCTCTAAAGCCTCTTATGGGTCTTTACAGTTCTGTGATTCTAGCTTTTCTGGAAGAATTGTTTGGGACCATAAGCAACTGGGCCCTTGGAATTAGAAATATATTTTATTTCAAAAGATATGCTCAAGATAGAAAAGATAAAGTAAGAAAAAGTAGGAGCTAGCAAAAAGATCGACCTAGCTCAAAAATACCTGTTTCACCACATTTCATCCTGGTGTAATCAGGTCTAGAATAGAAAAGTCTTTTTGTTATGAGTAGATCAACAAAATGTGGTGTATATACACGCGCGTGTGCACACACACACACACAGACACACTATGGAATACTACTCAGCCACGAGGAAGGATGAATCAAGGCCTTTTCCAACAATTTGGATGGAACTGGAGACCATTATCCTAAGTGAAGTATCTAAAGAATGGAAAAACAAACTCCACATGTACTTGCTATTAAATTGGAACTAACAGATGAGCACACATGTTGAGAGAGGAAAGTATAAACTCAGTGGAAATCACACAGGGGGTAGGGGGGAGGAGGGGATAGGCAAAAACCTACTTAACAAGTACAATGAACACTATCTGGGTGATGGGCACACTTATAACCCTGACTCAAACAGAACAAAGGCTATCCATGTAACCAAAATCATCTGTACCCCTGTAAAATTTTGGGGGGGAAGAAATGTCTTTTTGCATATAAATTTATGTAACAGAATTTTTTTTTTTTTTTTGAGCAGGGTCTTGCTGTCTCCCAGGCTAGAGTGCAGTGGGGTCATCACAGGTCACTGCAACCTCTTGGTGGTCCAGCGTTGGTATTATCCACTACACCTTCATGAAACCTGGTCAATCTATGATAGTGGATGTTTACTGAAACCAGTTGGATGAAATGATTAGGATGCTTGCGATTGATTAAGAAACAGAGATGGGTCAACAGAGACAGGCCAATCTTCTTGCAAGACAACGCTCGACCACATGTTGTACAAACAATGCTGCTCAAACTACAGAGGCTGGACTTGGAAACCCTACGTCATCTACCATATTCACCAGACTTTGCACCAACTGACTACCACTTCTTCCAGACTTTGGGCTGCTTCTTGCAAGGGAAAATATTCAATTCTCAACAAGCTGTGGAAAACGCTTTTCACGATTTCATTGTCAGTCATTCTCCAGATTTCTTTGCTGCTGGCATAAACAAGCTGCCATTAAGATAGCAAAACTGTGTAAATAATTTATGTGCAAACTTTCATTAATTGTACTGCTTCCTGTATGAGAAATAAACTACACTTTTGAGTCAAAATTGGACATTTCATATTTAATGACCTAATAACATTTAACAGGCCATCAAAGACATGTAAGAAGCCTTCTGTGTGATTCTCATGCAAGCTCCAGTTTAAAAACCACAAGGTTAGAGGTTATGAAAGGAGAAGGAAACCAGTAAAATATTATAACTACAATACAAAATATCAAAAGAATGAACCTGCAGAAAGATCAAGCCAAGAGTAATCGATATTCCACCCTCTGTCCTTCCAAAGGGCAGTATAATTCAATGTAGGGAGGAAGAAAATAAACGCACAGGAACAATGTAATCTCAGGCTCTAATAAACAGCATGCTGATAAAGACCACTAAGGAAACTTTAACTGGTTATAAAATTAAAGAAATTATGAATAATGAGTTATCACATTATTATTTTCCTCATTCAACATACGTTTACTGGATGTTATTACTGTACAAGATATTATACTAAAAGCTGAAGCTGTGATAAATAGGTTTTAAATTAAAGTATAAGAAATTTCAAAAAAGTCAAAGTTTTACTGTAAGTAATTTTGTTGGTTCCCCTGGAACTCATTACCAAGGAAG